AAGATATGACAAAATAATAATTTATAAATTATCAAGGGTTCCTCAGGGAGGGGGAGCAGGGAGGGAGGGGAAAAATGAGGAGCTGATGCAAGGGGCTTACATGGAGAGCAAATGTTTTGAGAATGATGAGGGTAACAAATGTACACATGTGCTTTATACAATTGATGTATGTGTGGATTGTGATAAAAGTTGTATGAGCCACCAATAAAATGATTTTTACAAAATGAGTCTAATTCCTTGACAGACGGCCCAAAGGTTCTTGGCTTGTGGTTTCTAATTACTGGGTACTCAAAGACCCTCTGAAAGCCTGATACAAACTATGGAATTTCTCCCCAAGTGAAAAATACAAATAAGGGGTGGGGTGGGTGCTGGCTGGCGCCCACCTCGGAGGAGACCGTTACCTTGAAGTGTCTGTTCTCCTCCTGCAGCCTCTGGACTTGCCCCTGCAGCCGCTTACACTCCTCCATCACCTTCTTCACTTCCGGGTCATCCAGGGACCAACCCAACGCTTTACACACTGTCGGTGTCTCTGTCTTTGGAGCAGTTGTGGATATAATTTTATTTATTTCTACATCATGCTGTTCAGAAATAAATGAAAGCCCAAGTGTCACCAACTCTGTAATAAAGGCTTTTTTTATGCAAAGTAGTTCTCAGCAAACAGCACGCGTGGTAGCATTTCACCCTCACTGTAAACTGTCACACTTGTTTAAAAATGGATCACTTTATCCAGTATCTTAATAACCTAGAGAAACTGGGCCCCAGAAAGTATGGATGAAGGCAGATAACGAGGCTGGGCTGAGATGAACACCCAGAGCCAGCGAGGAGGGCCATGCACATCACACACGCGGAGCCAGCTCGAGCCTGGGCGGGTGGCGGCCGGATGAGGGGTCCAAGGTTGGGGGTCGGGGTGGTGGGGGCGGCACGGGGACTGTGTATGCCCGGCTATGACTGGGCTCTGTCGCCTCCCGGTTCCTGACTGAGGTGAGAGGCAAGCAGTAGGGGAGAGCATGTGCCTCGGGGTAGGGGGACACACGATGATGGGGGCTACACTCCAGAGAAGCAGATTCGGGAGAGGCCGGGCCGAGGCCACTATATGAGACCACCCTGAGGTTGGACAGAATACAGGTCTCTCCACCTCCCCGAGTGCCTGCTTGGGGCATGAGGTGCAGTGTTGGGTGAGTTAGGCCAGAGGCACTGGTCAGTTAACAAGCAGAAAGGGACAACTAGGGGTCTGGCCAGAGTCAGCAGCTTCCTGAGACCCTGTCGGCAGGAGGACCCCGGTGCCCAGCTGTGCAGACCAGGCAGCCAACACTCCCTCACACTTTGTTGTAAGTGGCTGCGCTGACCAGGGTGAAACAGGGCAGGGTCCACAGTCGTGTCCCAGATACAGTCTTCTCTCGTCAGCTGGCCACAAACCAGGCCCAGCTAGCCGACCTGCACAAGCAACAGAAGGCCTGGAGAGAGATGCTCCCCACATTGGTGACTATTGGAGGGGTGGAGAGTTGAATGTGACCCCCAGGGATGAGCCCTGGAAGTGTCTGGAGACCCTTTTGGTTGTGACAACTTGGAGGGAGGTGACACCCTGACAATGGGGGGCTAGAGGCCAGGAGTGCTACCAAACACACTGTGATGCACCTCCCGCAAGGCAGTGGCTAAGGAGTCCACCCCTCCCAACTGCAGCACCATCTGGTTAAGGAGATGCTGGGGGCCGGGGCCGGGGCTGCTTGGGCAGTCCTAGAGTGGCCAACTGAGCTCCAGTGGCCCCTGGCTTCAATCTCCTCCACTGTCGGCCAGCAACAAGGGCCCCCCTGCCACCACAGCCGCCCCCAGGATGTAAGAGACACCCAGGGCAAGAGGGTTTCAATAGCTGTCTCCCTGCAGCCTTTCAGAGCTGAGTTCATAAAGGCCCCCAGTCTGTTGACTTCAGCTGATTTTTTTCTTCATACATCAGAGGAAGGAAAATAATTTGTCAACTTAAATTTGGGTTTTGCAGGAGATGGTATGCAAATAGGCATCAGTTTGCAACATTCAATTATTGTTAACTATAAACATACTTACTGGTTTATCATTTTCTGCTGGCAATTCAAACACACATCTAAGTTTTGAATCCATAAGGTCTTCCGGTTTTGCCTCCTTCCACTAAAACAATTTAAATTTAATAATCAGGACATTATAAAGCTGCTGGGAGAATAATTTTCTCCCTATAACTGACAATTTCAGAAAAATACTCTTAATGAGAAAGCCCTGATGTATATCAAATAAAGAACCTACGTCTGCTGAGATTTTGGTCTTTCTAACATGACAAGACTGTCTGAATATCTATCCCACTCCACAGACCCCGAAGTCTTGCTGGCCGATGCCTCAAAGTCAATGTCTGTTCTGAGCCACCCGTCTGTGGGGGCACGGTGGGAGGTGGGGGCAGAGTGGAACTTTCTAGAATGTCTGCATGGCCACACACTCTCCTTCCCAGCACACCCTGCTAGAGGGCTGCTGGCAGCACTGCTGGGAGGGGTGCTGGGTTGGCCCCGTCCCCAGGTGGGCAGTATGGGGGAACTGGCTCTGGGCAGCAGTGGGAGCCCCAGGACCTGAGATCCAGCACCACAGCCAGGCTGTACTGCAGGAAGAGGATGAGCCCAGCCCTGGGAACCAAGCAGGGGCAGCCAGAGCCCGGCAGCTAGGGGCCCGGGGCCCGGATGGGGTGAGGGCCCATCAGACCGGCGTGTGCGTCACATGGACAAGCAGCACGGCAGTATGCATCAGCACACATGCACTCACAACTGTCCACTCGGAGAGCAGGACAGTGAGGCCACATGGCTCTGACCCCGTGACCAGATTGTCAGCAGCAGCAAAGTGGACAATGGCCCTAGGTGCCTTCTGCTGAAACACATGCCCATCACCTGGGGCATTTCAGCCTGCCTGAGCGAAGAGGGGGGGCCGGGGTGCGTCCAGAACCCACGCAGGGCGTCTCAGGACAAGGGCAGGTGCTTCTTTAAAGGCAACGTTCTCCACCATGGCGGACAGATGCCCGGGCGGGCTCAGCTGTACTGGGGTAGATGCCAGGAAGCTCAGCGCTCACGTGCCAGTGGATCAGCAAAAAGAACCCTGAAGACAAGCACCGAGCAAACAAAGGTGCCTCTGGGCCAAGGTCCTCCTAGCACTTGGTCAGTCCTCTGGGGTTTCAGCTTCCTGGCAGTTTCAATAGAGGAAAAACCACTCGAACAAGGAAAAGGCCCCAGGTTGTTGTGGCGAGGAGCCCTGGTGGGGCAGTTGTTAAGCACTCCACAGCTAGCTGCAGCGCAGCCTTCCTGAGGGAGGGAGATGGGCGTGCCACGGCAGACGCGCTTTCCTGAGAGGCAGCACTGGCAGGCCAGCAGCAGTATGCTTTCCTGGCTTGTATCTCATGGAAGGCTGGCACGGTATCTGTCCTTTAGAGCTTTCTACTAGGGGTAGCTTGAGCCACAACACAAGCACGCTGAGGGCTTGACTAAAGACAGTGGCTCAGGAAAGAGGCCTGAACCTTTCCCGCACACCACACATGCCCCCGCCCCCTCCCGCTCAGCACAGGCAGGAACTTTATACCTGGCCATGTGGGGACTGGTTTCTCACCCCGTTGTACAGGTGATGATGAGACACCTGGAGAAACTTCGTGAGGCCTGCCCACAACCCCCACATCACTCAGAGGCAGAGCGGGGCTACGAGCCGAGACCCATTTTCACAGCCAGAAAAGCAAAAGCCACCCAGGCGTACTCCCAGAGAGGCCATATTTTGTGTTTCCTCAATGACACAAAATAAAGGAAGTGACGTAGCATCACCTTCCAGGAAATCGAGAGAAAGCCAAGGATGCGCCAGTGGCTCTTCTTCTGAGAAGGAAGCAGGCCTACCACCGAGGCATGCTCTCCAACCTGTAATGTCCAGACTGCCCCAAAGCTACAGTTCAGTGGCTATGGCCAGCTGTTCCCGTCCCAGGGCAAAAGGAAGGGGAGGTATAGTGGCCGTGGGCATGTGGGCAGAGTGAATGGCCACTCCCCCGGGGGCTTGGGCTCATGGTGTGAAACCTTCCGAGGAGACTCTGCCCTTCTCCCAGCGAGGAGGACTGAGGGCGGGGCCCAGGTCACCTGCCAACTGACACTCACGCCTGGCAAGGTGTCAAAGCTTTCTTCTGGGTGAGTTTCTAGTGTAATCCTTCTTCCCCCCTCATCCCAGAAACCCGGAAACACTGCTTACTTACTTTGTGCAACCAAGAGGTCTTATCTATACCACGAACAAAGACAGAGTCATCCATGCATTTTCAGGCAGGGGGGATGTAAAGGAAGAGGAGACAGAGGGCATTCAGGACTGGGGTGCTCTGGGGTGTCCCTCTGACAGGGGAGGGGAGACAGGGGCAGCAGCAGGCCCTTGCTCTGTGGGGTGGCAGGAGGGTGGGCCGGGAAGGACCCTACACCATTCAAGAGCAAAGGGGTCTTAGAAAACCCAGGAGAGAACAGTGTTCTAGTAAACACTGTGCGAAGTCAGGATGATTCGCCGGCTGGGAGTAAAGCCCAAACCTCCGGGCACCCCTTGAAGAGCCATGGCACACCCCCATGCATGCATCCACAACATCGGGCCTGCGGCTTTCCTTTGGAGTTACTGAAAAAGTAAGAAGCATACAGTACTTACGACTGCTTCCATATCAGAAGTGTCAGTCGGTGCAAACATAGACTGAACCATAAACTTGTGTTTACTTTTCTCATTGGGGTCATAATCGAAAGGCTGCAACATCACTGAGGAAGAAAATAGTTCATTAGGAGGGTCAGAGCTGATGCTGGTGGCAGCCCGCCACACAGCGAGGGCTCAGGGAGGCCATGAGCTGCGCCTCTCCAGAGCCCTCGGCGCGCCGGCCCCGTGCTGGCAGGGTGGGCCTGTGGGGGGCACACCAGAACCATGTCTGTGGGCACTACACGAGGACCGCTGAGGTCATGCTGGAACGCAGCTCTGCCACAGAGCCGCAGCTGTCTGGACCAGGACACCCACCAGTGACACAGCCTCTTCTCCCACAAGCCTGGAGGTGCTCCCTCCAAGGCTCCTGGGGACGAGGAGTGGCAGCTAAGGGAGGTGTCTTCCCACCCAGTGGCTGACCCCGTGGAGAGCCCAGGATCAATCCTGTTCAGTGACCACCGCCCTGCACGAGGTGCTAGCTACCCTGGAGGAGCAGTGGTGCTCACGTGCTGATGATGACCAGCCACCTACAGTAGGCTCCTGCCTCCTCGTCCAGGCTCCCTTGCCTAATTCCAAACTACAAGCATCACTGGGGTGGGGGAGTGGGGGTATGTACGCTACTCTGACACCAATCTCACATGAACCTCAAGCCCAGAGAGGTGAACCAAGGTGCCTAAGACCAGGCGTGCGCCTGCCACCTCAGGGCCCTGAACCCTATCCTGTGCTCCCATCAGCAGCACAGCCTCCTCTCAGCCCCCTCGTCCTGGCTGAAAGCAGCCGCTCCATGCCCATAGCCCGAAGGCCACTGGACTGACACCAGAGGTCTCCCGGGCTCAGCAGAGCAGGCTGCTTTGCCCTGCCCCCTCACCACTACCCCCTGCAGGGTGGAGGCTTCCCATTCATCCCACGGGCAGAGCAAGTGGGTGGAATGTCTCCGGGACCTTGTCACCCCACAGCAGCCCAGGAGCCGGGCTGGGAGGTCACCAGAGAGCAAGCCTTCTGTGCCCTGGGGCTTGGGGACACAAGCATAGCTGCCCATCCAGCCTGTGAGCAGCACAGAGACACTGGGTGGGCGCACTCAGACACGAAGGAAGAGGACATGCTTCGGTCTTTCCACATGCCCTGCTGCCAGCGGACCACTCTTCCTCAGGCCTGCTGTGAAGGAGCCTGGTGGCACAGTGGCCAAGCACTCGTGTCTAACTGAAAGGTGGGCAGTCAAACCCAGCAGCCACTCCGTGCGAGAAAGACGTGGCAGGCGGTCCCGTAACCATGCACCCTGTCAGCCCACTGGGAGTCATGTCCAGGGCTTCTTGGTCAGCACCACCCTGCCTGGAGGCATCCTGGTGGTGCAGTGCCTAAGGGCTTTGCCACTATAATCTGAAGGTGGGCAGTTCGAACCCATCAAGCCTCTCATGGGAGAAAGACTTACTGTCTGCTTCCCTGGGGGACTGCTGTGAATCCGGGTGGGTGCGGCGGTGGACTGGCTGGTTCACTGGGTACACAAGATACTACAGGAGGCACATGCTCACTGGCCCTCACCTCGCGCCCCGCTACCCTAGGAGGTATGCATCATCAGGCCCTCGGGGAGGCAGTGCACAGCTAGACCTCTAAGCCCACCAGGGTCAAGAGCCAGCAGTTTGGACATGGGACCAGAGCCCCAGCCCGGCTCTGATGAAAAGGTACCAGGGTGCCAAACACAGATACATCAGCAGTGAGCCCTGCAGTGGTGTGTGCTTCTCACTGGGCTGACACCTGCACTGAGAGGGCGAGGAGACGTGGCGGCTTGCTGGAGGCCTCCCCGACCCAGGCAGGGACTCCCCAGAGCGCTGCTCACCACGCAATCTCCACTCTCACACACTCGGCTAAAACAAGCCAACTTCACTGAAGAACATCCGTGATGATGCAATAAAACAGCTATTTGAATAAATCTCCACTTTCAAAATAGACTTCAGCACTGTGGTGAAATGGGCGTGATGTCCCACGAGGCTTTTGGTCTGTTTTGAGTGAGTGCCTGTACGGCTCTCTGGGCTGAGCCAAGCGGATGCCCTTTCATGGGATATCACGTTCATGTGGAGGAGCACCACACCAGCCGCTCGGCTCTGGGCACATGGCAGACGTTTCCTTGAAAAGGAGCAGTGAGCCTGCCACCTCAGGGAAACCATAACAACCGGCTGTCGGTGATGACGCTCAGGCAGACTTGGGGGACACATCTGCCACTGAGAGAGCCCAGCGGTTCCCCACACATGCCCGAGAGGGGGGAGTGGGCAGGGCCCTCCCGCACTGTGCAGTGATATGGGAAGCAGCCACCATGCAGTACAAACCCGTTCAAAGAGCTCAAATTCCACATCATTTTAACCTTTTAAGAAACCATTTCTTGATGAGTTTTAGTGTAGTACCAAAGAATGACATCCATCATTATAGGAAAAGGCTATTGATCAATCTCCCTCCCTTTCCTGACCATGGTATCCGTGTGAAAATGGGTTTTCACCCTCTGCTTTCAGCACAATGCACTGCACTGCACCGCACGGCACCTCACCGGAGCAGATGCAGAAACACAAATAAACCTGCTTTTTATGACGCCATGCACCAGAAATCTGCAGCAAGTGTCCAACACTGGCACATCCCTACAAGTTTTCTTTTTGAAAACCTGTTTCATCTAAAATGTCATTTATGCTGATATGCGATTGGTTATATTAAAATCCAGAAAGTGCTCATATAACGTCCAATACGATGACGACTCACACAGGGCCTCTGGGTCTCCTGTGTTAAGCATGAAAGGGCCCTATGTTCCAGAGTGGGAGACACGCTCCGCTACCCCGGCTGACTCTAGGGCCGCCCTCAAGAGGTAGCAAAGCTCTGGCAGCTCGTGGAGTGGCCTCATCAGGAGACTGCATTTAGAGGGAAGGCCTGGGTGGATGGAGACAGACAGACAGACCCAGACAGGTATGTACACACATGCACACACACACAGGGGCTGGGGACCCTGTGGGCCTCAGCTCAAGCAATTTTGGCAATTTCTTGGCAAGCCTCCACAGAAGGGACCTCACAGATGTCACCAGGGGGCTCCAGCCTACACAACCACCACCCTCCCCAAAGCTATGGACAAACCCTAAGAAGGTGTCCTTTACCTTGAGCCAGGGAAGGGCAGGGAGGGGAGCAGGTTAAGAAGGGGGAGGGGAAGGTTAAGCAGGCATGCCGTGCATAGTGGAGGGGCCAGAGTGGCCAACCACATCATGGAGAAACAGGGTAGCTGGGGCTACAGAGCCTTCTGCCACATGAAACAAGCACACAGGGCCACGTGCCACGTACAAACTGTCGACTCCGATGAAGGGCACCTGCCACCCGGCGGTCCCCCTCCACTGCAGGCACAAAAAGCAGTAGGCAACGAGTCAAGGCCTGGTCGCCCCAGCCCAACCCAGCCAGCTATGGTGAGACCGGGCAACCTTCACCGCCTCATGCCCACATCTTCTTATTCACCACTCAGCCCCAGGGTGCACTTCTCAGCTACTATCTATAGGCCCAGAATTGGGCTGCTCACCACAAAGTCAGCAGTTCAAACCCACCAGCTGCTCCTCGGGAGAAAGATGAGGCCGTCTGCTCCCAAACAGATTTAGAGCCTCGGAAACCCCACAGGGGGTCGTGTGAGTCAAAAGTGACTCGGTGGCAGAGGGGTCGTCTTCTCATGTTAAATTCACTTTGCTATATACACCCTATTAGCTGAGACCTTGCTATATACAGTACACCCTATTAGCTGAGACCGTATGAGAACCCACAGTATAAATGCTATTAGTCGCTTGTTCTTTCTACCCTATACATGCAAATTGTGACATAAATTATGTACTTCTTCCCATGACAAGCTATGGAAGAGCTTCCCATTAACTTAAATCTATTTCCCTTGAATACCAGAGGCAGCGAAGATAAAGCCCTCTTAAGGCACCATCTATCCCACTCCTACCATGGATCTGCTGGGAGCCCATGGAGACAGCACCCATGGCCTGGCCACGCTGTGACGCAATGTCTGCTAGAAGGGGAAGCTGCCCTGCTCCATGGACAGGGTCTTGAGGCTGGAACTCTGGCTCAATGTGATCAGATGACCTGCAGACCGTATGCTCCTCCACCCCTATCCCCGCCGCCCCCACACACACTCCCTCCCTCTCCCCAGAGGACGATTTGATTACATACAGCACAAAGCCTTTCTCCAGCACCCAGGCCAGCAGCAAGTCATGTCCATGTGTGTCGTCAAGCTGACCCATCAAATGACGGATGACGGGCTGACCCGCACCAAAACCCACCCTTCGCTTTGCACTGTCTGAGTCTCCTCGTTTGAGCCCCGTCATCTCAGCTGCCACCCCTCTGGATTGCTCCTCACCCACACAAAGCCCCTAGAACCCCCACATCTCATCTCCTCGAAACCCCACTCACCGTCACCACCCCTCAGATCAAGGGCCACCACCACCCCTTCCCCACGCGGGGCTCCGCTCGAGTCCTGGGAAAGGTCTGGGTTCCCAAGGGCAGGTGCTAATGTGCATTTTTTCACAGGCTGGCAGATTTGTGCATAGCCTTCCTGTTATTCAAACCCGAAAACCAAACCAACTGCCCGGTCCATTCTGCCCCGAGTGACCTCACGGGACAGAGAAGTGCCCCTAGTTTCCAAGGCTCCTGACTGCCTTGAGTCTCTTTCACAACACAAGTGGCTTCAAGCCACTGATCTTTCTTTCGGTACAGCCTGGCACCGACCCTCTAGAGCTCCCTGTGGCCAAGCGAGGGCAGCGTGTCCTCCTTCCACCTTCTGGGCACTGGGTTCCCTGGGGTCCCCGTCCCCTCCCCACTGCTGCCCAGCACCAGGGCCCTCCACTCACTAGCTCACTTTCCTTTCAAAGCGCAGGCTCTCAACCGAATTGCATTTACAGGGGAAGGGCTCATCTCCCACTTTCAGAAACTAGGGAAAACTTAACAAAAGAGTCAGAAAGCACCGTTACTGGGGTCCCAGTTCACACATGAGCAGGCCTATCCCACCCAGAGCGCGGCAAAACCCGTCTCTGCCACCAGTGCACCGCTACAGAGT